TCTCGATTGAATGTCTGCTTAGTTAGCTTTGGTGTTTGGGGTTTGGAGTAAGAATAGAATATATGTCAAACTCATAAGTGTTGTTTTTAAGATTAGTACAATGATGAATATGAAAGAAACATGCATTTGATGTTCGATATTGGTGTATATGTGTTGATGTTGGGGCAAATATAGGTATGAATGAAGCGTTTGTTTGGTTTTTGGGCGCCAAGCGAGACGTGATCTTGGTGCCAACTTGGAAAGCCTTGGTGAGTACGTTGGCCGGCAATGAAGAAGTTGCTGCAAGTAGAGTGGCGGCAATAGACTGAGGTCCTGGTAATTGGCTGTTGAATGCCGTAATCACTGCAGCAGCGTCCTTCCCATTTTTCAGTTTCTCTAAATTTGTGATCATTATTGCATCTACTTGTTATAATTTACTAAGCATTTTTTTAAGTAAGCACATGGATGACTAAGATTAAATAGTCCATTTGAAAGAGAATAATGTAATGAACCTGTTTTAGCACTGCATGCACTATGTGTGGAAATTCATTTAGAGATAATCACATGTAAACAATGGTTGGCACTACATGTACTATATGTGTGGAAATTCATTTAGAAATAATCACATGTAAACGATGTCATGGGTTTAAACGTTTGCTAAATTCGTTCCTGATAAAGGAAAATAAACATCAATAAAATAGTGAAAATTGAAATAACACCAATCTAAAAGAAATGCATATGCCCGTTATAATTTTGAAAGAAAAATACAACTATACTAATTGTGTTTTTGTGGCAAGCATAGCGTTGTTGTCATCTGTATATGGGTGCTTGCCTTTTCCTAAAAAAAAGTAGCACATGACTTAGGTATTTAAAATGCTTAGTAAGTAGTCACACTGTTAGGGACAGGAAATACAATCATGGTAGAACTTATCCTATCGTAAAACATCATGACATTAGAATCTAACTTTTCAATTCGGGTGAAATTGGATGTGTAGTACTTTTCTACACATGGTCCACGAACGCTGTTGAAAACTACTATTGGAAAGGAGTGCACATAATGCATGGTGTCATGTATCTTAGTAATTATAGTGGGGAAGTATCCCAATGCATGTGACATACAAAATGAATGAAGTATCCATAGCTTTAAATCATGACATATACCTATGATGCAACCCATACCTCCCTTCTTTTCATGACATAATGTCTCTATGGAGGACATACATATGGAGTACTTGCCATATTTTTGATGATTAACATACATGGCCTACTCATACTCATGACTAAAAAAAAAATACGATTAGTTAACCCACTTTCCTCAACTTACACATTCTCAGACAGATTTCTCAAAATTCTGATTTGTCTTAAAAGAAAAAGGATCAACATACCTAGCTTACTAATGATTAATAAAACCCTCTCCCAAACATCTCTCCACTAACCTCTCTCCAATCATTTTAATGACTAATGCAATTTTAAGTTGTTAGAGATTCAACCGCTCTTGCAAAATAGATTGGCATAAAATATTTATGAGGATATGCTAACTTTGCTTTAGACCTCCCCAAAAGACCTCGTACCAATAGATATAGTATTCCTCACTTATAAATTTATAATCTTATACCCTTCATTTTAAGAATTCATAAAGCCGAGAATTCAAGCGATAAATTTATCAATGTCATTTTTGTTAATATCCATATCATTGTAGGGTCGGCGTGCTGCTTGCTTTGTCTCCAAGTGGAAGATGGTTAAGAATAATGGAGCCCAACATCAAAGTAAACTCCATTTTGTATTTTCTTGGCCCGTTGAAACCAAATTTGTTCACCAAGTTTCAAGAAGAAAAAATGAAGTTCAATTTATGTTCATATTAACGTTAAAATGGATTTTTTTTAATAGTATCATAAGATATTAGTAGAATTAACATAAAAGAAGAAGATGGTGTGTTACATGGACATCCGTTAGTGGGAGGTTGAGTATGTGTGATGATATTCATGTGGCTGTGTGGGAGCGATTAATGCCGTATTGCCCTACCACCTTCCTCTTTCTTTCTAATGTTCTATCATCAATCATGGATCTTTCACGTGCCTACTAATAAACTCAATCATCTCATAAATACATACCTATTATTTCATCCTTTTTTAACGTTACCTCATAACTTAACCACACCCCCTAAATTCAAATTTAAATCTACCACCCAACATATTATTTTATCCTGCCCCATATTCTATAATAGTCTATATATTTCAGACATTCAAATTTAGTTTTAGTCGTTGTGAGATTGCACATGGGTGGAAAAGAAAAACGAAACATTTATTATAAGAGTGTGAAAATCTCTCTTTAACAAACACGTTTTAAAATTGTGAGCGTGACAACAATAGCTAAAACGTTAAAACTAACCATATCTACTTCCAGAACTTGAGTTGCTAGAGCCTCACAAAACCATGACATTGGAGGCTCAAACACTAAAAATAGGAAACACTCCCTGTTAAAAATGTCTGCTTTGTCCGACAATTAAGTTATAATCTGAGCTCCTTAATGTAAGCTAACTTAAACAACAAAATGTGTTGGACATACCATTACATGAATGTAGGCTCCCAAATATTTGGATCCACTTAAACTTTGTGTGGATTGTTTAGCTAGTAGAGCCTTGGTGGTAGGCTACTTGGACAAGTGATTGTCTACGTCAATTGTTTTCATTGATTCAAGCACCTACACCCACCGCAAATAAAATATTTTTCTCTTAAAAACATGTGAAATAAAACACACTTTCTTTTCTTTCTAATGTTACTATTTACTAGTTTTGTTAAATTTTAAAGAATAGTTTTATAATAAGTATCTCCAGTTAGGAAAACAACAGGGAATAATATGATTCTCATTTTTTTTTAAAATTTAATGTTAAGTTTATGGATTTTTATTATTGGATATTTTATTTAATTTAAAATTGATTGACATCTTAAATAAAAATAGTTGAGGCATAAATTTAGTCACAAGTCAATGTCGTATTTACTAAGGTGATTTATCATTTAGTCGAACAACTTGTATAGAAAAAACTTAAATTAGTGTTTAGATCAAAGTAGTATCATGTTAAGCCGGAGTATTATTGAATACCTCTACAGGTGACAAAAGTTAAAGAGAGGAGTGATCGAGCCTAATATAGTAACTAAAATGAAAGAGCGCTTCCTTTATTCAATTATGCCCTCTCATATAATCTTCTCTAAAAGTCTTAACAAAGAGTATATTAAGGACTAATCCACAGTGGGTAAATTGTAGGTTATAAGACATTGAATCTTAGAAAATTTTATTTTATTTTTGTCACGGGAAAGTTGAATTGTGATTTTGTATAATATTGGATGTTGGAAAAAGGAAGGGGGGGTGGAAAGTCAAAGCACACATAATTATTGAAATTAAGCATGGGGATGAGTTTGAGGTGGTGGGATAAGAAGGCAAATGAAGAGAAAACGAAAGGAAAGAGAAAGGGCGTTGGATATGTTGATTTGGGAGTGAAATTGTGTCGGTGGGGAGTTTGTGATAGGCAGAGACTCATAACGTTGGTACTATTGGTTTGATATTGCTATTGCACGAGTAGCCTCCCCACCCATCGCCATCGCCATCATTCTTCCCCATTCCATTAAAAACAGTACTAAAGAAAAACAAAATTGTTAAGATCAGAGCATGTGAAAGTGGTTAATTGTAAAAGAATTGATTAAAATGTTGCTTTGTTGGGAAGAAAAAGATGTTTGATGCTTAGATCTCATCTACCTCCTCCACTCTAATGTTTGTGGGCCATCTTTGTTTAAACCACTATTATTCTTCTTAATTAAAACCCAATCCAGACACCGGTCTCCCATCCCCCATTTGTTTTATGTTTAAATCATCATTAATATTTCATAAAATATATGTATGAACAACAATCAAGAAACAACAGAGTTGAATGGAGCAGCCTCATTAATTGTGTGCGCCGGACTTCACGCTTCTTATCATCTTTGTTTAAACCACTAATCCCTCTATTATTTTACTTAATTACACTTTTTTTTTTTACTTTCAATTTTCTACCCAATAAACAACTATAAAGGAGGCTTAAGCCTTTCAATTATTCATAATAATTTCACTTTTTTTCAATATATTTTTAATTCAACAATAAAAGTAGTTGATGCTTTATTTATTGTTTTAAAAATAATATTGGGGTTGTTATTTTCCCATTTGCTGAATTAAATTCATTTCTTGATTTTAATGAAAGTAATCAAATATATGAGGCAAATTCAGAATTTTATTACTCATAGTTTTGAAATTTTAAAATGGTATAGAAAAGGGAATTTGTGATTTTCAGATAAATTTGGTAGCCGACCTGTGAGTATCACTTTTGACTCAATTTTTTTTTTAATGTGCTACAAGGATTGAGATGTAGTTACCTAAATAAGTTCATAAAGATGTTTGAATATTTAATGAAACTGCACCTTCCTATCACACTTATTTAGATAATTGTCTGTTTATGGAATACTAATTATTCAATAATTGCTCACCATTACATTCATATTTAAAACATTTTTGTAAGCTTTTTCTTCCAAATTCAAATTATTTTTTTTTACAGCTACAGTTACTAATCATTTTATTTTTAAAAATTAAGTCTATAAATACTTTTTAAAATAGTTTTTGTCAATAATTTAAATGCTTAAAAGATAAAGACATAATCTAGAACAGTAAAAAAAAAACTCTAAAAAAAAAAAATTGATTAAAGCAGGCAACCGGCAATAAATGAATGAAAAAGAAAAGAGTTTGTAAACAAAATAAAAAGAATTTAAAACTAAAAGCAAACAGTTATTATGGGGAGGTAAATGTAAGGCACCGACGGCAGAGATGAGGGAGGAGCCTGGGGTTTGTGCGGTGCCGCCTGGTATTGGTGCTTCGGATCCCACGGTCAGAAATGGTTTGACACTACTGCGTAGCTTTTACCTGCTCGTGCCTGCTTAAAGTAAAGCCTTACCGTCCCTCCCTGTAAAGTGTAAGCTCAAAATCCTTTGCATGACAACCCCGGCAAACCTTCTTTCTCCGCTGATCTCTCTGCCAAACCTTCTTTCTCAATAATTCATCCTCTCATTTCCCAGCTTCTTCACGCCTTTACAAACCCCCCCTTTGCCGCTCTTATACTAACACTTTGCTCTGTTCCGCTTTTCCCATTTCTTCCCCCTTTTGCTTTATTCCCAGATTTCTATAACTGATTCACTTCTACACACTCCAACCTCATTGATTCGTACTGTGTGAGGTAGGAGCAGAGCCATGTCCAAGCATTTGCTCCTTCTCTTTCTCTTAGCATTGCCTTTTACCAAATGGGTTCACGCCTTAAACCCCTACAATCTCTCTGATTCTACTCTCTTCGACTCTTATGAAACTTCCTTTGCTGCTACCCTTACTCCTCTCATGGTGGGACTCACTCTCATTCAAGGAGCAGATACAAAACAAGCAGGTCCCCTTTTCTATTTCCTGCATTTTCTTTTCTCTGTCCATTGTTGGAGCCTCTTTTTGGGTGCTGATCTAAATCTTCCATCACTTTTTTACTTTTCTTCTTACCCACCTTAGATTTGTTCGTGTGAACTTTTGTGTTTGTCTTTGTTTTTCTTTCTTTACCTTGTGCAGTCTGTTTGGATGGCACTTTGCCAGGATATCACCTGCATCGTGGATATGGGTCTGGAGCAAAAAGCTGGCTTCTTCAATTGGAGGTTTGTTCAAACAATGCCACTAAATGAAACATGTTTTGAATTATGGGTCAATCTATTTTCAACTTCATATCCTTTTTATATATACGTTTCTTTTTTTTTTTTTTTCTGTTTTCTTGGTTCTCTTAAACATTCGAGATGGAATCTACATATCCAAGAAATGTTCTCTAAAACATTTTGAGATTTACACTAATCTCCAACTCTTCACCTTCCAGAGGTTTAGAACAGAACGGAATCCCTTAATGTGTTAGCTCCAGAATCCCTTACTCAATGGTCTTATACTAATAGAGATATTGTCTCTCACTTACTTATCTAGTGAATGCGATACATGGTCGCACTCCCAACACTATTAATATCTTTAGACCATTAACTTCCCAAATGAGACATTAATACCAATCTGTTCAGGATTTTAGTGTTGGCCATGATAATTGCAACATATTCTGTCATCATACTATTAATGTCCAAACTTTGAGGTCTAAAGTTGAGCATCTTTTGGCAGGGAGGTGGATGGTGTAACAATATCAGGAATTGTGTCTATCGGAAAACAACAAGGCGTGGCTCGTCAAAATTTATGGAGAAGCAGATACCATTTACAGGAATTCTGAGTAACAAAGCTGAAGAAAATCCTGGTTGCTTTTTCCTTCTCTTGAACTTATTATTTTTCCCTCACTTCCTGTCTTAGTTTTTCCTCACATTATGTACACTAACAATTACATGTTCATACTTTGATTCCAGATTTTTTTAATTGGAACAGAGTGAAGGTTCGTTACTGTGATGGCGCCTCTTTTACTGGGGATTCAGAAAACAAGGTTTGTAAAATATATGTTTCACTTTTCAGTGTCTGTCAATGGCAGTTTCACATCTTGCTATCTAGACGGTCTACCAATAGATTAGTGACTGCCGTGCTATTGTTACTCATTTTGACATATATTCATGTTTTGAAAGCCGTCTAGATCCTGTTTTCCAATTGTTGAGTGTTCTCTCTTTTTGCTATCTTGCATGTATCACATTTTGAATAGAGTGAGTATTTTATAGGCTGCACAGTTGCAATTTAGAGGACAGCGGATTTGGATGGCTGCTATGGAAGCATTGAAGGCCGAGGGAATGCGTTTTGCTGAACAGGTCTAGTTTACCTGCCACATGATCTCGGCTTGTTAACTCATTAGTTTTGATTTATGTTTTTTTTTTCACGTTTCAGGCCTTGCTTTCTGGATGCTCTGCTGGAGGTTTGGCATCTATTTTACACTGTGATGAGTTTCGAGACTTATTTCCCAAAACTACTAAAGTGAAATGTCTGAGTGATGCTGGATTATTCCTTGATGTGTAAGTTCTCTTATGCTCTCGTATCCTTTGACTTTGTTCGGTATATTCGTTAGCAATTGCTCCTATGAAAATCATGAGCCACGGCTTTAATTAGATGCTTCTAGTATTCATTAGTTCTTCATGGAATTGCAGGACTGATATATCTGGTGGCCACTACATTAGAAACTTATTTGGTGGTGTGGTGGGCTTGCAGGTACAAAGTTAATCTATCTATCGATTCATGTTTTTTCTTGTCCTAACAATTAATATAACAACATTAAAAAAGAATTACCCTCAATTACTCAACTTTGAGTAATCCACTGGAACTGAGGGTCACAGATTCTTTATCTGATTGTGTTATCGTTTTGATTTAGATTTTGAAGCATAGAGGATGATATTTGGTCTTGGAATCTGGTCAATTTGTGAACATGGAATTAGTAATTGGCACCATTCCTTATTTTCCCCTTCATACCGTGGAAATCATAAAAGTTGTTAGATGAACACGACTCTCCACAATGATATAATATTGTCCACTTTGAGCATAAACTCTCATGGCTTTGCTTTGGGCTTCCCCAAAAGGCCTCATCTCAATGGAGAGAATATTATTTGATTATAAACCCCCATGCAAGTGAGGAAAATAAAGAGACGTGAGGAGTTACTTAAGATACTAAAATTTATAATTGTTTTCTCTACTAAGAATCTGAGTGTTAAATGTATCAAGTTTATGCAAAACTGTGCCTCACACTATTGAGGACATATTCTATTTATATTGGCAAAAGATTAACTAATAGATCCGATTTCATAGGAAACTAACGAAGTAAGCCTATTCTTATGGCATGACTAACTTCAAGCTATTCTAATGGATTGACCAATTCTAACAGTCCCCTTCAATCCCAACAAGTCTTGTACATGTTGAGATTGTTACAATGTGTAGTAAAAGGAGTTTTAGACAGTGGTTTTGTCAGGATATCAGCTACTTGATCACTTGATGAAATGAACCGAACTTCCATTGCTTTACGTGCTACTTGTTCTCGAACAAAATGAAAATCAACTTCAATATGTTTCGTTCTAGCATGAAATACTGGATTTGAAGTTAAATATGTAGCTCCGAGGTTGTCACACCAGAGGCGAGGAGCCTTTGATTGATACACGCCCAGTTCCTTCAGTAATGACTTGATCCAAATCATTTCTGCAGTAAGATTCGCAATGGCCTTGTATTCTGCTTCGGTGCTTGATCTTGACACTGTAGCCTGTTTTCTGGAACTCCATGAGATTAGATTTGCTCCAAGAAATACAGCAAAGCCGCTAGTTGAACGTCGATCATCGGGACAACCAGCCCAATCAGCATCAGAAAACCCCGACAACATCATGGTTGATTTCTGAATTTTCACTCCTAATGCTAGTGTGCCTTTAACATAACGAAGAATTCTCTTCACAGCACCCCAATGAGCATCAGTAGGTGTATGAAGATATTGACACACTTTATTGACAGCAAATGCCAAATCAGGCCTAGTCATTGTCAAATATTGTAGTGCTCCCACTGTACTTCTGTATTTGAATTGTTCTTCAGCTGATAAGGGTATTCCTTGTTCTCTGAATAATTTTTCAGCAGAACCCATTGGTGTAGACATAGGTTTGCATTTTTCCATGTTTACTCTTTTCAACAAATCTAAAGCATATCGTCTCTGTGACAGTATGATACCATCTCGTGTTTTCTTGACTTCAATACCCAGAAAATACTCAAGATCACCCAAATCTTTTACTGCAAAATCTATTTTCAATTTTTGAATCAACCTTTCGGTTGCTTGATCAGAGGAGCTCACAATAATTATATCATCAACATAGATGAGCATATAGATAGTTATCTCTCTGTTTTTGAGAATAAAAAGAGATGAATCAGCTACTGAAGCCTTGAAGCCTAACTCAATAAGTTTTCCAGTCAACCTTGAATGCCAAGCTTTTGGGGCTTGTTTCAGGCCATAAAGGGCTTTCTTGAGCTTGCATATGTAATTCTTTGGTTTGGCTGAGTCTTGAAATCCTGGTGGTTGTCGCATGTACACTTCCTCTTTCAGAATTCCATGCAAAAATGCATTTTGGATATCAACTTGTCTCATATTCCAGCCCTTGGTTACTGCTAGCGAAAGAATGACCCTGATTGTTGACGGTTTGATCACAGGGCTAAAAGTATCAGTGTAATCAACACCAAATCTTTGCTTGAATCCTTTGGCAACTAATCTTGCTTTTAATCTTTCAACTGACCCATCTGCTTTTCTTTTCACTTTATACACCCATTTACTATCAATGAGATTTATTCCAGGTTTGGGTGGAACTAGATCCCAAGTGGCATTTCGTTTTAGCGCTGAGAGCTCATCATTCATTGCTTCTCTCCATCTTGGATGTTGCATGGCTTCCTGCAGGTTTCGAGGTTCAGTAGCAGTCTCTATGATCGGAGTTGTGATAGTTACAGCGCTTGCGAATTTTCTTGAGGTTTCTGAATATCTGATAGTTCCATCAGTGAATTGTTTAGCTTGTACAATGTTATTTCTCAACCTTGTTCGCATTGGATGTTGACTAGCTGCTTCAGTTGGTTGATCAGACACATGTTCATGAGTTTGGTTTTGAGCATTGATCGAACTGCTCTCAGCTTCATATTCTGCAATTTCCTCTGAACTTCTTGTATTATCTGCAGAAGATAAGCTGACACCAGACAAGTTGTCACTAGCAATATTATCAGTTTGACCATCATTCATATGGGAATTACTAACAACTGGTTCAATATCTGTAAGAGCATTTTCAGTGTAAAAACTAGCAAGTTTGGCTAAGGCTGGAAGTAGAACAGGATGATGTGGATTTGTGGTTTTGTTTGGTGGCTTAGATTCTTCAAAAGGAAAAATATTTTCATCGAAAACCACGTCTCTAGAGATGTAAATACGTCCTGTACTTCTATTTAAGCATTTATATCCCTTATGAGAAGAACTATAACCCAAGAATATACATCTAGTAGTTCTGAAACTCAGTTTCTTGTTGTTGTAAGGCCTTAAATTAGGCCAGCAAGCACAGCCAAACACCCTAAGCATGGAGTAGTCTGGACTTTTACCAAACAATTTATGAAGTGGTGTGTCTTGTTGTATGGTTCGGCTGGGCATTCTATTTATAAGAAAGCAAGCTGTGTTGAAAGCTTCATCCCAGTAGGATAGAGGCATGTTGGCTTGAGCGAGTAAAGCAAGGCCAGTTTCTACAATGTGTCTGTGTTTTCTTTCGACTAACCCATTCTGCTGGTGTGTGTGAGGACAGGAGATATGATGTTCAATGCCTGTGGATTTGAAATAATTGTGTAACCGATGGTATTCACCCCCCCAATCTGATTGGACGGAGCGAATTTTGGTATTTAGCATAGTTTCAACATGTTTTTGAAATTGAAGGAACACAGACTCAACATCAGATTTGCATCTCAGAAAGTAGATCCAAACATAACGACTAAAATCATCAACAAAGGAAACATAATATTTGGAATTATTTACTGACGCAATGGATGGACCCCATACATCAGTGTGAATTAATTGAAGGGGTGCTGTAGATACATGCTGAGAAGAACCAAATGGCAATTGATGTGCTTTCCCTAATTGACAAGCATTACAAATTGAGGAAGAGGGAATATTAGTATCTATAGCTAAATTATTATCTTGTAGAATTCTAATGGTAATTGGAGATGCAGGGTGCCCTAGCCTTCTGTGCCATTGTTCTTTCGAAAGTTTGGCTGTCAGCAAGGCTTGACTGAAATTATGCGGTAGAACGTATAGGCCATTCTTACATCTACCGTGGAGCAGGAGTTTCTTCGTGACTCGGTCTTTAACCAAAAAATAGTTTGGGTGAAATTCTACAACAGCATTATTATCAGATGCTAGTCTTTGTACTGAAATTAGGTGCTTATTGATTTTAGGAGCATATAGGATATGTTTCAGAACAAGAGATGAACCAGAAATTAATGAATTCCCAATATGAGAGATAGACAAACCTGCGCCATTTGCAACCTGAATTTGGTCGGTGCCAGTGTAGCGTTCTCTGGTGGTAAGCCTCTCTAGGTCATTGGTGATATGATCTGTGGCTCCAGTGTCAACATACCAGTTTGTGTCACTAGTGTATCCACTTGTTGCCAAAGCTGCTTGTTTGAGATTATTTTCGGCTTGATATGCCTGATCAAATCTGTGCCAGCATTGCAAAGCATCGTGATTGGGCTTACCACAAATCTGACAGACAATGCCTGAGCTGCTTTGTGTCTTTGATGGTTGACGTCCAGGATTGTTCACAGTACGCCTTGATTGTCCATGACCACTATTTAACTGACGACTACGACCGCGGCTACCTCGACCTCCATTGGCACCTCCACGAATGGATATCCTATTGACATTGTTAGCAGATGAAAGTTGCTCAAATGTACCCTTACGCAAGTGCCGCATCTCATAGCTCAGCATGTGAGCATACACGTCGCTGACAGTGTATACATCTGTTCTGGTTGTAATGCTTGTGACTAGAGGATCATAATCTGGACCAAGTCCTTGCAGCATGTAGGCGATGAGTTCTTCATCCTCTATTCGCTTGCCAATGGCAGCAAGTGTATCACCAAGATGTTTTACTTTACGAAAGTAGTCAGCAATTGTCATGTCCTTTTTCTGGATAGTAGAGAGTTCCATACGGATCTGCATTGCTCTTGCTCGAGATGTGGAAGCAAATTGTCGCTCCAGCGTAATCCAGGCTTCTCGTGCAGTGGTGATTCCAACCATCGTGCTGAGAACCTCCTCAGTGACTGATGAGTTGATGAGGCTGAGTACCAGCTGGTCCTGGGGGTACCAGACTGTGAACTCAGGGTTGATGATAATTTTGCGATTCCCTGTTTCTTCACTTGGTTCAACGGCGATCGTCTGGCTTGGTGCAGGCATGGATCCATCCACAAAACCAACAAGGTTTTGGCTACGCAAGTAGGGAAGGATTTGGGTAGACCACAGTAGATAATTTTCTTGTGTAAGCTTAACACTGATCACCTGACTGATCGACGGAGAAGACATTGTGTTGATTGGGATTGACATGTTTAACAGCAGAGGCTATGGATCTCGTGGATCTTATTTGAGCTCTGATACCATATCAAGTTTATGCAAAACTGTGCCTCACACTATTGAGGACATATTCTATTTATATTGGCAAAAGATTAACTAATAGATCCGATTTCATAGGAAACTAACGAAGTAAGCCTATTCTTATGGCATGACTAACTTCAAGCTATTCTAATGGATTGACCAATTCTAACAAAATGATCATGCATTATAATGGTTGTTGCAGGGAGCAGGAGGGAATCTGCCATCCTTCTGTATGAACCATCTGGATCCCACTTCGGTAATTCTTTCCATTCCTAATTTGGTAGTCTCAATATTATTGAGAACTTGATGTTGATAAATCACTTTGTGTTCCTCATAATTACTCAGTGTTTCTTCCCACAAAATTTAATTGCTGGAATCAAAACCCCACTGTTTCTAGTGAACGCAGCATACGATTCCTGGCAGGTATATTCTCCTGCGCTGAGAGTGTTGTAACCTTTTATTTTAAACCTGGATCGGGGTATGATGGAATGGTCTCTTTCTCTTACTAAACAGCTACAATCTAGTATAGCTCCACCTTCTGTGGATCCGGCTGGGCAATGGCACGATTGTAGGCTGAATTATGCAAAATGTAGCCAACCTCAGATTCAATTTCTTCAAGGTAACATTCTCGGAATGGGATGTGATCAAGCTCTTAACTAACATTGTGTTTCTTAGTGACTTCTGTTGCATGTGTGTTTGTTTTAACAGGATTCAGGAACCAAATGTTAGATGCTGTTCGGGATTTCTCAAAATCTTCAGAAAATGGGTTATTTATTAATTCATGCTTTGCTCACTGCCAATCTGAGAGACAGGATACATGGTTCGGCGACAATTCTCCTGTCATCGGAAACAAGGTGAGTTGAGTGTGTAAATATAGTTAGTTAGTGTGAGAAAAGGAGGAGGAGAGTTTGAAAATGTGTAACATGTGGGGATTGACAATATGCAGCCAATTGCTCTGGCCGTTGGAGATTGGTACTTCGACCGAGCAGCAGTGAAAGCAGTTGATTGCCCTTATCCTTGCGACACCACTTGCCACCATCTGGTTTTCAGAGCCGCTTAGCTTAGCTTAGCCTCAACGGCTGGATTCTTCATTTATTTCTCTCTTTCTGTCGTCATGGAACCTGAACACATACTGCAATTTGATTGAGAAGTCAATAAACAAGGAAGAAGAAGCTGGTGAGATCACAAATCTGATCTGCACTCCTTCTCAAACCTTGTTTCACCACACAAGAAGATTAAACAGTTCCTCCATTTGGAAAAGCAGCTTAGAACCAAAATTAGAAACCACATCTTTATTATTCAATTCAAAGAATTTCAATACAGTTGAACCTAAATGTTCGAAATCAATTACACCGAAAAACAAAACAATTGATTGAACTCACTAACGATTGGTAGTGCTCATATAGTTAACAAATGATCTAAACTAACCATTTCACCCCTACTAACCATCTTTTCATAAAATTGATTGCAAATGCTTTCAATTTACTTGTGGCACTATAGTCCTACATTGACTCCCGCAGTTTTATAAATGCATCCCGTTTAAATGGTTGTCATAATATCTGCAATTTGTTATTTTGTGACATAGTGGTTCAACTCAATACCTCATCTCTGATCAAATCACACAAGAAATGAAACCTTATGTTATTGTGCTGGCTACATAATTGAAGCATTCTTAGATAACTTAATAGTAAAACTATTATTACATAATGTAGTGATCACTTGTCTTGAAAATGACCAAGTTTTTCCAATGCTCTTCTTGTCCACACCCCTTTCCAATACTCTTCGCGACCACAAACTCTGCTTCAGTAGTGGACAAAGTAACTACAAGTTGTTTTATGGAGGACCAAGACATAGTTGGTAACTACAAGTTGTTTTTTAGAGGACCAAGACACAACTCGTTCACGGACTAAAAACACATAACCAAAAGTGTGTTTCCTATCATCTACATCTCATGTATAATTACTATTAGTACATGCTATCAACTCTCCCTTACCCCTTTTTCGATAAAGAACTCCCAAATCGATAGTACCTTTTAAGTATCTCAACACTCTTTTTGCAGCTTACAAATGCAACTCAGTTGGACTTGCCATAAATCTACTAATGAGAGACATTAGATACATTAAATTCGGCCTTATTTTAGTTAGACACATTAGACTTCTAATTAATTGTTTGTACATGGTAGCATTGACCTTGACTCCTTCTTCCTTTATCACTCTACTGTTGTGCGCCGAAAGCGGAACAAATGTACTCACAACACCAAATTTACTCAAGGCATACAATATTGCACACAAAGCTTGATGATTTCAACAGCAGAAAGAATGGCATTATATAGCCTTCTGCTAAACCTAAATATAAACTAACAGGCCTAAAAAATATTAGCAAGACCTTGAGAATAGGTCTTGGTCCTAGAGAATAGGGCTTATGACAGTGCTTAACAATCTCCACCTTATCATAAGATTTCCAAGTTGATAGCGAATTTGGTTGCTACCACATCAACACACTACTCCTTCCTTCCGACGTTGATGAGATCCAAACAATGGCAGAACTTTTCACGAGCGACCACCTTTGTCAACATATCAGCAGGGTTATCAGCAGTTCCATTTTTTAGTAAACGAATATCCCCTTTGCTAATGACTTCTCGAATAAAGTGAAAACGGACATCAATGTGTTTTGTACGAGCATGATGGACTTGATTTTTTGACAAGCAAATAGCGCTCTGGCTATCACAAAATACATCTATATGTCCCTGCAAAATACCCAAGTCATTGATCAAACCATACATCCAAATAGCTTCTTTAAAAGCTTCCGTTACCGCCATATACTTTGCTTCAGTGGTAGACAATGCAACAGTAGACTGCAATGTTGAGCGCCAACACACAGGTCCACCAACCATAGTAAATAAATAACCCGTGGTAGATTATTGAGACTGAGTCAACCAGACTGTACCTTTTTTTCGATCTCGCTCTATCTCCATTCCAAGTATTTTCTTTGCATTGCCTAAGTCTTTCATTTCAAATGTTTTAGAAAGCTCATCTTTGAGTTTATCAATCTCCACCTGTCTCTTTGAAGCAATTAACATATCATCAACATATAAGAGCAAGTAGATAAATGATCCATCATCGAGACATCGATAATACACACAATGGTCAAATTGACTATGAGTATACATATGCTCTACCATGAAATGATCAAACCTTTTATACCATTGGCGAGGGGATTGCTTCAGCCCATACAAAGATTTCTTCAATCTGCATACTAAATGTTGCTGTCCAACTACTCGGAAACCAACTGGTTGCGTCATATATATTTCTTCTTCCAAATCTCCATGCAAAAAAGCAGTTTTTACATCGAGTTGTGCAAGCTCAAGATTAAATTGAGCAACCAAAGCCAACAAAATTCGAATCGAAGAATGTTTTACCACAGGTGAGAAAATTTCATTGTAATCAATACCTTCCTTTTGTGCGTAGCCTTTAGCCACAAGTCGAGCCTTATAACGTATACCAAAAGGGTCTTCCTTTTTTGCAAAAACCCATTTACAACCAATTTCCTTCTTACCTTTTGGAAGTTGTACCAAATCCCAAGTTTGATTTATCTCCAATGATGCTATCTCCTGATTCACAACCTCTTGCCAATGTAAGCTATCCGGGCTCTGAATAGCATCTTTGTAACTGTTAGGAACTTCATCAATCAAAGAGAAAGCATATGCTATCGTATCATCAAACCTTGCAGGTTTTCGAATTACCCTTCGTGGTCTATTCTTGGCGATTGACTCAGGTTCCTCCACTCTTTCATTTACAAGGCTTTGCTTCTCAAGACTTTGCTCTTTCTGTTCTAAGACATCAAAGTTATTATTTACCTAGTCAATAGGTTCTTCAGTAGGAGCAACCACATCAGGAGAGAACACCACCTTCTCCACCTGCTTCAATGCCTCGTCATTATTTTCAATTTTCTGAAAAAACATTCCAGACTCATCGAATGTCACATCTCGACTATTAACAATCTTACTTGTTTCTGGACACCATAACCTATAGCCCTTCACACCTTTGCTAAAGCCCATAAACTTGGCTTTTTTTGCTCTAGGATCCAGCTTTGAGTCTGTCACATGATAATAAGCAGGACACCCAAACACATGCAATTTATCATAATCACTAACAGGACTACCTGACCATACCTCAAGCGGAGTTCTCCCACCGTTTCCAGAAACAGGTAAACGATTCACCAAGTGAACTGCATAACTGAGAGCCTCAGCCCAAAATTCCTTACTCAATCCTGCTTGAGACAATATGCATCGAACCTTCTCTATTAATGTCTGGTTCATTCTCTCAGCAACTCCATTTTGTTGTGGCTTACCAGGAACAGTGAAGTGTCGAACGATCCCTTCATCTCGGCATACTTTAAGGAATGGATCATAAGTATATTCTCCCCCGTTGTCTGATCTCAGCCTTTTGATTTTTTTGTCCGTCTGATTCTCTACCATTTTCTTCCACTCTAGGAAGATTTGGAGAACCTCGTTTTTGTGCCTCATGGGATACATCCAAACTCTCTTCGAGTAGTCATCAATAAAGGTGACGAACCACCTCTTTCCTCCCAATGAGACATTCTTTGTGGGACCCCATACATCGGTGTGAACATAATCCAAAATGCCCTTTGTTTGGTGTATAGCTGTACCAAACTTCACATTTTTTTGTTTGCCAAATATACAATGTTCACAGAAATCAATTCTTCCAGTTGTGGCACCCTTAAGGACTCCTTGTTTCACCAGTGTCTGAAGCGCCTTCTCACCAGCATGCCCGAGTCGCATGTGCCATAATTTCGATATGTCTTGTTCTTTCGAACTTGCCACAGCAGCATGCCCAATTATTGTGGTTTCGTTGAGGTAGTATATGCTACCTCTTCTAGTTCCTGTAATTGCCACCAAAGCTCCACGAGCTACTTTCAAATTCCCTCCTTCCAAAATGATGCGATAACCACTCGCATCCAAAACGCCAAGTGAAATCAAATTTTTCTTCAAGTCAGGGACATACCTCACATCTTTGAGTTTTCGTATAGCCCCATCAAACATCTTGATTTGTACTGAGCCGATTCCCATTATCTTACAAGTACTATCATTTCTCATATAGACAACTCCACCATTGAACTCTTTGAAGTCCAAAAACATCTCTTTGTTGGGACACATATGATAGGAGCACCCAGAATCAAGAATCCATTCACTGGTTTGGCTGACTGATAGGGAGATTGTCTGTATCAGTGTCGTCATCTCTAACCACATTGGACTTCGACCCCTTCTCTTTTAAGATCGAACAATCTTTTTTCCAATGGCCTTTCTGTCGACAATATGCACACTCATTTTTATCAAGTTTTCTCCAATTATCAGATCTACCTCTCGACTTTAATCGAGACTCTCCACATTCGTTCTTTTTCCAATTGGAAGTTCTTCCATGAGCAGTGAGAACATTTGAGCTAGAGCTTTGATACGTCTCCTTTTCCTTCTTTCGCATCTCATTGTTTATTAAGGCATTTGAAACATCTTCAAAATCAATATTAGTGATTCCATGTAGTAGGGTCGTTACTAAAAACTCGTAGGATTCCGGCAAAGAGTTTAATAACAACAACGCCTTGTCCTCGTCATCAATCTTAACATCAAGATTGAGCAAATCAGTGATGATTTTGTTAAAATCATCCAAATGCTCAGCCATTGAGATGCCTTCCTTGTAATCAAAACGGAAGAGTTTCTTCTTCAAATAGAGTTTATTTTCCACACTCTTCTTCATATATTTCGCTTCAAGCTTGTCCCATAATTCTTTCGCCATGGTAACCTTCATAAATGGATATTTCTGATCCTTGTCAAGACAGGATCGAATAATTCCACAGGCTTGCCGATTTAATTTCGTCCATTCTGCTTCTGTCATGTCTTCAGGCATTTCCTCTTGGAGAGAGACATCGAGGTCTTGCATGACCAACAAATCGCTAACTTCGCCTCGCCAAACACCAAAATTATTGGTTCCATCAAATTTCTCTACTTCGAGATTGGAACTCCACACTCTCGATCCACGTTGTGATGGTTCTGCCATTTGCAATAATTAATCTGGATGAAACTCAAAACCACAATTCTTGAAAATTGATTTTCAAGAGAATAAACACGATTGTGAGCACGTCTAATGGTCGATGAGGCCCAAGCTTTCACAATACCCCAAAATACCACAACTTGGCTTTGATACCACTTGTTGTGCGCCAAAATACCACAACACCAAATTTACTCAAGGCATACAATATTGCACACAAAGCTTGATGATTTCAACAGCAGAAAGAATGGCATTATA